CCACCTCCTCCTTCCCCCTTTAAAAGAGAGGAAATTAGGGTTTTTTTTTATTATTGTTAAATTTGAGTTTTGATGGGCTGGTTTATGAAATTGAGTTAAAACTTGAATTAAATTGTTAGTAGGCTCAATATTGAGTTGGATTTATGAGTTTATTTTAGTAAATTTCATCCTTAGCTTTTTAATTTTTTCAATTGAGTCCTTTCCTTGTTTTTTTTCTTCAACTTCTTCAAAATTTTTTCACAAAATTTTTTTATAACGATAAATCCGAAACGGTATGCAAAAAATTTTGGTATTTGGTATGTACCGTTTCAGTAGCAAAATTGATACGCATACTAGTACGATATTGACAACTTTGGTCTCAATAAGAACCTGATGCATTAGGTTTTTTTCTTAAGAATCTTGAAATCTAAGACATAAAGACCCATGGCGCCAAGAAAGAAACAAAAATTCAGTCTAAAAGGAATTTTTCTTCTTGGGTTGGCTAAATAATTTCTTTACAATATCAGATATTCCCAATTGAGTATTATTTCTAGGATTTAATTATATTAACCATGAAGGTGGAACACAAGTGGCAATGTCCTTAAAAGCAATAAATAGTTCTTTGTTGAAGTTTCCTCGAAAATCAAGTAGCTTTGCCTATTTAGAATCATGATGCAGGCATGCTGGGGTTTGTTGGTTGGTTTAATTTTGAGGGCATTTTGTTTTTGCAGGAAACAACGGTCCCCGAACTTGGGTGACAAAAAATTTAAGCACACTGTTCTCAAAGGAAAGCATGTTGGACGCCAATCACACAATCAACAAGCAATAGTTTTATGCACACTCACACAACTAATCACACATTCGGCTAAATTTAACTAATCATCTACTAATATGTATTTCTTTATCTACTATTAATTGAGTAAAAATTATACTAGTAACTATTATGAAATACTGTTTCTTAATTTCTTAATTAACTGTCGACTGATAATCTGATATAGATAGAGATTTTACCGTGTTTTGACTTGAACCCTCATCGGTGATGATAGCATCACTATCATTCGTGTTTTCTTCTTCAGTTTCCTGAAGCTGCAACGTAGACTCCAATGCCCACACGATATCCCTCATTGTCGGACGTTCATTTCCACGTTCACGAACACAATTCTCCGCGACCTCACTGAACTTCTGCAAGGCCATCGGCGCAATCTGGCCTGCCAGATACGGGTCCACGATTTCATCAAGGCTTCCATTTTGATAACAACTATGGGCCCATTGTGCCAGGCCCACTTTCTCCCCTGAAAGGTTCTCGAAGACCGGTGGCTTGCCGCACAGCACCTCAAATAAAACCACACCAAAAGAATACACGTCAGATTTATCTGTTAGTCGCTGCAGACGATAATATTCTGGGTCTATATACCCGAAGCTACCCTTCACCACTGTGCTGACGTGGGTCTCGGATGTGCTTGTAGGACCCAATTTCGACAAACCAAAATCTGATACCTTTGCCACGTAATTTTCGTCCAATAATATATTTGACGACTTCACATCGCGATGGATGATAACCTCCTTGACCTCTCTATGGAGATAGTGCAACCCACGCGCCGCCCCAATGCAGATCTCTAGTCTCCGTTTCCATGATAATGGCAGATTCTTGGTTTTGTCGAGACGATCACGGAGTGTGCCACGTGCCATGTAATCGTACACTAGGATCATCTCACTGTGATCATCACAGTACCCAATCAGAGAAACAAGATTAACGTGTCGAAGCTTTGAAAGCAAGGCAATTTCGGTGCGGAACTCGTGGGCCCCTTGCCTTGATGAAGGGTTTAACCGTTTGATTGCAGCAATGGTGGTCCCACCTTTCATAATCCCTCTGTAAACGTTTCCAAATCCTCCACTTCCGATTAGAAGCGTATCGTCGAAATCTTGAGTGGCTGCTTTGATCTCGGCAATTGAGAAGTGACAACAGGTATCAGACAGTAACGAGGAGGAGGTTTTTGTGGTAAGGAACTTTGATGTGAAAGAGAGCGCGTGTTTCAGTTTTCTTTGTCTTTGAAAAACGAAAAAGCTCACGAGGAGAGAAACCAGAGCAAAACCACCGAGGATAGCGCCAACGATTGGCAAAATTATTGATGTTACCTTACTCTTTGGGCCTCTAAGTAACTTTTGGTGCGAGTCTGGAGGTGCAAGACTATAAATCGGATCAGGATTGGGTCCAGCTAGGTTACCATCAGATTGATTCAGTTTGAAAATCTCTAAACCGTTCAAGAAGGCATCAACATATTTTTTGTTTTGAGGGTGCAGCGCTAGCCAAAGGTCCTTTCCTTGGGTACTGTTTTCAGTCAAAAAAATATAGTCTTTGTACATAGGATGTCCACTGCCACCGCTCAAAAGAAACACGTCTATGGCTGCTGCCGCAGTTAGATTGTTGATGAATATGTTGAAAACATGTTGATCATCGCCTGTGATCCTCATCAGAATCTCACAGAAATGAAGCCTGACGAGGTAGCGGAACCCAGCATCAACGGGGAACTTCCAGGTCATGCTGGATTTCGAATTCAACAAAGAATTGTTGCTCATCATACGCGAAGTAGTGTAAAGTTCCTTGGGTGCGGTGTACGCCGGTGTGCTCGCTGTAAATTGAATCGGCTGGGATTTGTTCAAAATTGGAGAAGTCCAGTTTGATCCGACAAGATAATCTCCATCTTGACTCCAGGTTCGGTACATTCCTGTGTCTTCCACGCTCTCAATGCGGTTTCCACCAACATTTAGCCGATAAAGAGTCTCAAGTGAGGTGCTGGTATTATCCAAA